TTTGAAAGTAACACAAACATTTTAATTTTTTCTAGGAGTTTAGGATATTAACGCATTCCATGGGTCTGTTCTGTTATACGGTCCAAAACTGATATTGTTCATATTTTGAAAACTGTATCATACTGCTCAAATTTGATAGCTTAAATATGTTTTCAGCTATTTGAACAACTACAAAAATGATAATTTTAGACCGTTTAACAGAAAATACCGGAAGTTTTTGAGAACTCTTTTTCTTATTGACTTTTGAATAAGCAAATCTGCTCGTATCGGGCACAAACTTGATTTTTTAACGTCTTTAGTAATTTATTTTTCATAAATGTTTCCCCATCCTTCAACTTCAGAGAAAAATTTATTTATTTGTTCAGAAATGTTTCCTATCTATGTGCAAAATGTTTTCGCAAATAAACTGCCCTCAAATTTGCGCAAATAAACTGCCCTCAAATAAACTGCGCTACTTGATGAAAAAAAACGTAATATGCGTTGAATACCCAAAACTTGCCAAATTTTAAACGGTTGCAGTAACATAGCGAGGGCCCGGTGATATTTTCGTATATTTCGACGAGATTCATTTTTGGCTGGCCATCATCAAAATGAAAATATGCGCATTCAGCGCCAATATAACTAAATATGAGGGGAAGCGCGCGCCAAAAAAATGCAACTTTTTGGACAAATATGTTTTAGAAATATGCTCTTCAACTTTCTCAATAGGCAAGAAACGTCATTTTTAGCCTGTTTTTTTGTTCAAAATTTGCAAAACATTGCCAAAATAGGGTCTATATAGCGTTTTTGGCCAGCTCGAAAAATCAAACTGTTCGACCTTAAAAAATTGAAAAAAAAATTGATTCAAAAAATAAGTTACCATAACAATTTTGATAAAATATTTTAATTAAAATGTCACATTGGTTTGAAAAAAAAAAACGTATAAGTGGTAGCATTATCACAAAAATTTCAGGAAAAACTTCATAGCAAATCGAGTCATTCTTTTATTGCTCTTCTGATTGAAGAACTCTGATCGAACTTCTGTTTAAAAATATTTTTGCTTCCTTATGGGTTATCAAGGAGCCAAATTTTTTGGTGAAGGCCTGATTGATCAACTTTTGCTTTCTGGCGTCTCATTAATCGATTTACCCATAACGTTTGATATGATATTGATTGCATAAAAACATTCCACTAAGCACCGTGAACTGAAGAATCAAAAGTTATCTATAATAAATCATTTCACGCATAAAAATTCAATCACTTTTTCAGTCCATCACATGCTTTTCAACTTTCTCAATTAATTGGTTCAATACACTGCGAAATAGACGTAAAAACAGTAAAAATACGCTCGGTATCATTCTTAAACGTTTGAAGACCAACATATTAAATTTAGAAGCCTAAAAAACATAAGTGCCTTTTCTTTGAAATATTTATATATTTTTTTTCAAATAAATTTGAAGTACTGGACAATCTGAGTTACTCCGGTTTGCAGTTTTTGCTATTCTTGTTGATTTGAGAATGAGTTTGTGTACAATGACCCCTCTTGATTGCTAATTGTAGTCAAAAAATCAAACTAAATGCCGCTTTAACCACTTAGTTCGTCTTCAAAATAACGTAAGAAAAAGAAATTTAAAAACTCTTGGTTTTTCGAAAAGAATGCACTAATCAGCTGGTTGGGAACTTTATCTCAAATAATAAAACGCTCATCTCAAAATTCAACGATCCTTAAAACAGCAATAATTTAAATTTTGTTTGTTGATTCCGCTGACCATTTTTAAGTCCTTGCTTGAAAATTCTTCATTTGCTAGATAAAAACTCTAGCTGTACTTTTTAACTGTTCATCCGCAAGAACTGGCTAGTTCAGTTTTTTCAACAAATTTGGGGAATTTCCTCACAGTTGCGGAATTCAGAACAGCCAGCAATTTTCCCTTGTTTCGGAATTCGCAACAAATCAAATGCCTCAACAAAAAAAATACATTTCAAGTAGAACGCAGAATCCACATGTATGTACGCAGAATCCACACAAACTTGCAGAATCCACACAAACAACCATGTTCAAAGAATTGTCGTTGAGTTTCATTGACCTACAGACACTAAATTGAGCAACTATTCAGTGCGCTGTTTGGCCTCGTAATGAAACAATATTAAAAAGCTGCAATAAAACGCAATCCAAATATCGAATGAAAAAAGTTGTATTGCAGCTTTTTAATAATGTTTCATTACGAGGCCAAACAGCGCACTGGATAGTTGCTCAATTTAGTGTATGTAGGTCAATGAAACTCAACGACAATTAATAGACAATTATACATTATTTGCACAGAAGTTTATAATTTTGTTTGAACAGAGGTGTTCAATGTTTTTGTTTTTGATGTTATGATTTTTTCTTCGAGAGGATACAGGTGATTTGCTTAGCTTTTGAGTAACGATAAATTTATTCAGTTGTGGAATCCATTTTTTTTTGTTTTATTACCTTAGAGAATAAATTTAATAGTTCTTATACGTGTAACTCATTGATTGAACAAATGTTCTATGTTTTTTGCTATCATTTTTGAGAGATTTCTTTAGACAAAACGCAATCCAAATATCGAATGAAAAAAGTTGCGTCACAAGAAATCTTTCAAGAATGATAGCAAAAAACATAGAACATTTGTTCAATCAATGAGTTACACGTATAAGAACTATTAAATTTATTCTCTAAGGTAATAAAACAAAAAAAAATGGATTCCACAACTGAATAAATTTATCGTTACTCAAAAGCTAAGCAAATCACCTGTATCCTCTCGAAGAAAAAAATCATAACATTAAAAGCAAAAACATTGAACACCTCTGTTCAAACAAAATTATAAACTTCTGTGCAAATAATGTATAATTGTCTATTAATTTTATTATGATTATCATTAAAAGTTTCCAAAAGAACCTAAACAAAACTAAGACAACTGAATGCAGAGAAAAGAGACACCCATTTGATTGGTTACGACTACTTCAATCGTTTTTCGGTACCATGCATTTATGCTTTACAAAAAAATTAATGATCGTAAATCAAAATCTAAAAACTATTTACAACGTATAAAAATAATTTTTTCATACTGTCTACGCGTGTTTGGGTAAGTAGCCCGCACTCAAATTACTGAAAAGTATGGCATATAGAGAGGTATATATAAAAGTGATCCAACTTTGTCTTCTAATTGGAGAGACTAGGAGAGGTTGGAGACTGAATTAAAGCTATGTGGCAATTCATAATTTGAACTAAAAACACTTCTATATGCTAAATGAAAAACACTTCTATGAAAAGACTTCTATATTTAGCTGGAAAGGTTGAAAAGTGCCTCTGGAGTCTTCTAGATAATGAAGAAAACGAGTAAGGATTTGACTTGATTTGGCACCGGAGCGTAAAACAATTTCAATGATAGATAAGTTACTGATTCAAGAAAAAGATTTAACCTTGGTTTAACAACAATCTTTCATATTTTTTATTTGAACAAAAATCAATGCTTATACTGCTAGCCATAAGTCGATATATTTTTTGTCAACCAAACTTTTAATAATTAGTAACAAATATATCCAGTTGCTGTGCAAGTAGCACAGAGTTTTCCTACCACAATATTTCATTTAACAATCAAAAATGCTGAAAAAATATAAAACCGATAAATAAATCCTTTTTGAAAATTAATTTTCTTTTTTTTCCAAATGTTCAATTTTTGTTCTCAGTAGTGCTATAAAAGGGTAAAAAAGTGCAAGTATGAAAAAAAAATTTGCATTGAGCATTTAAAAAACTTATAAACTTATAAGCTACCGTCTCTGTAATTTGACTGTGTTATTATGTTTGAGCTCAGTGTCATCAAATTGTTGTAGATAAATGAAATCGGATCTTGAGAATCGGAGATAATCCGTCTAACTTTTCCCCACACTGCAAAAACTTTTTTAATTTTTTTCGGAACCCGAATCAGGACCATAGGGTTTTTATATGATACCAGTTCGACCCCTTACGACCTGTCTTTGAGGTAATCAGGGGCGGATCTAGGATTTTCTCGAGGGGGAGGGCGGATTTTCAAAATATTTTCGAAAATTTTGTCGACCTTTCAAAATTAGTATATTGGCGCCGAAGGCGCCTTTAGATAAATATTAGGGTTCGTCGCCAAATATGGATATCTCAAAAAGTACAAAGGAAGGGGAGGACTCTTTGGGTCGGCAGGGGGTCGAATCCCTGAGGGGAAGCGTCCGCCCCCCCCCCCCCCTTCCCCCTGAAGTCCGCCCCCCCCCCCTTCCCCCTGAAGTCCGCCCCTCCCCCCTTCCCCCTGAAGTCCGCCCCTCCCCCCTTTCCCCTGAAGTCCGCCCCTGGAGGTAATCAAAATCGGTCGAAAAAAAAACAAACTAATTCATATTTTATTCCAATGATTCTAGGGGAGTTTTCTGAATAAAGCGAAAAAAAGTGCACTCCAGTTAACCAAGGCAGTCTGAATTTGGTTCTTAATATCACCTCATTCTACTCTTCTCTCATAATTAAATGACATCTCGTTTGAAAAATCGAGTTTAGAAGCGTAAAGGCGGGCGTAAAACTAAAACTTTTGGTTAATCTAAAACAGAAGGGCGGGCTCTTGAAATTGAAAACTTCGGCGATTAATTAAATTTCAACCAATTTGATTTTTCCGTTCTCTGTTTTTTTCTCAAAAAACAAAAAATCGGACCAAGTTCAATATAGCAATTCTAGTCTCTGGATTTAATAACTCCATGATGGCACTGGAAATTTAGCAGAGGAAATTAACACCATGGTTCATCTAATGTCATTTGTTAGATATAACTCAATTTTTATTGATTCTGCCTTTTTATCATCAGAATTATTTCCGCGCTTGGCACCGATCCACAAACTAATCTGTAACTAACTTTTCCGGCGAGTTAATCAATCGAATATTGCTGCTCGTTTTATTTCTTCTAGTCAAAATATCTGGCACAGCAACAAAATTCCAACAACTTTTACCCCCGAAATTAATTTATGTTCATGTCCGTTCCAGCAGGTCAGTGAAAATTACATAGAAACATTTGAAAAAAAAATCAACAAAAATCAAAATTTGTGCTGCACCTTAACTCCATTAGTTTCTCTAATGTATTCAATAAACGAATTACAAGAACTGTTCAAATAATACTCATCATTTTTGTAATCGCCCCAGATCTTTTATCGTAATCAATACAAATAAGTAGAACGTTATCCGCTTTGTTATGGCCGCGCAGTGCCATAAACTTTATCTTAGAAAAGATGTCTGCTCCAAAAGTGAGTGCGAATACATTTTTCTCCCTCGTGAATTCAACCCATTCCCAACCTAAAGGTATTATTTTTGGCAACCATTTTTGACCGACCACGTCTAAATTGTTTTATATGTAATATTCCTCGAAGAACCAGATGCAAAAATTTTGTGCTGCAATGTTTAACTCCGAAAAAATGGTCATTTGGAGCCTATTTTTTTCAGAATCAGACAATCGAGCCTAGCAGTTTCGCCATCGATAGTAAATAACAGAAAAAGTTATTTTTGGTGAAAAACGGTAGCAGTTGAGACCAACTGAAAGTTCCCCCTCCCAAACCAGTTAGGAGGTATGACCAGCATTACGAGACCAAACGGTTCATTTAGTGAATTGTATGTGGATTCCGCAAAAAGGCAAAACAGAATTGTTGCGGAATCCGCAACATTACAACTTTTTTTTAATTTTCTTTGTTATTTGGATTCCACGGACAAAATCTAAAACAATGTATTGCTCAATAGTGTTCCAAAACAGGCAACTTCCGCAACAAAATTTATGAAATCCGCAATCAACTTTGCGGAATGCGGAACACTTTAGGGAATCCATGAGCAAATAAAAATATTTGTGTTTAGTAAACTTAAGCTATCGTGGAATCCGCAACTGTAAGTGGAATACGCAAATTGCGCAAATTGTACGCGAAATCCGCAAATTGTAATTGGAATCCGCAAATTATAAGCGGAATTCCCGAATTGTAAGCGGAATCCGCATAAATGTGCGGATTTGACTTACATTTTTGGAATCCGCTTACGTTTGCGGAATCCGAACAACTACTTATATTCGCTCTTTGCGGAATCCGCAGAAAAACTAATCCTCCGACAAAATCACGTTACAGGTATTTGTACGCGGAGTCCACGGAAAATTTGTAAATCGATTCCACTTGCATTTTGGAACATAACTAAAGACTTGTCTTTGGTGTTCAGGAACAAGCAGACCCAAAATTGTGCGCCCATTCAGTGCACAGTTTGACCACGTATTGAATTTTTTAGCCAATCAGATAGAAATAGTTTGCTCAAAGCAAAACTGTGTTCCCACTACAGAAGAATGTTCCCACTGTTTTCATTTTTGCCTCAAAGCAAAACACAGAATTTTGGGAAATTCTATCAATTTTTTTTCACAGGCAAGCCTATTAATAGTTTCACAGAGTTGTTGATTACTCTTTTAAAACAACTTGACCAAAACAAAAGCTTTTTACTGATTTCAAAAGCTTCGGCTAGTCTTTCGGTCGATCAATTCTGACGTTGGAAAATTTTTTTTCTATTATTCTAAGTTGCTGATTTCTAATTTTCAGCAACTTAAGCAACATCTAATGGTCTATTTTGGTTAGAAATCGTTCTCAAGGGTCTCCAGCTTTAATTTGGTGTTGGCGAATTAACTTTCACGCTTAAGTTACCCTTTACTTTGTTTATACATTATGTTCAGATGATCGAAAATCACAGTGCTGGTCCCCATATTTTTTGAATACCATATTTTTTGTGAACAATTACAACAAATTAACTGGTTGCTGTGCAAGTAGCACAGAATGTTCCCAGTATTTTCATTTTGCTCAGAGCAAAACACAAAACTTTGGGAAATTCGATCATTTTTTTTACAGGCAAGCCTATCAGTAATTTCACAGTTTTGTTGATTACCCTTTTAGAACAACTTGACCAAAACAAAAACTTTTTATTTATTTCAAAAGCTTTGGCTAATTATTCGGTCAATCGATTTTGGCATTCGAAAGAAAATTTTATATTAACTGAAGTTGCTTAGTTCTAAATTGCTAATTTGGGCTGGCGATGGCTCATTTGGTCTACTTTGGTGGGAGATCGTTCTCATGGGTCTTCAGTTTTACCATGTTGTGGGAGAATTAACTTATACGCATAAGTTACTCTTCACCTTATTGATACATTATGTTCAGATCGAGCATCATCACAGTGTTGGTTCCCATATTTTTGCGAGACCCATAAGTTTGAAGACAATTTAAAAAAATTTTGGTTAAGTTTGTGTTTTTAGCGGGTGGTGTGATTCGAAAACATTACAATCGCGTAAAAAAATGATGATTTACGCATGATCAACCACATTTGTCTTCAAAAAATGAATTAAAAAAAACTTTATGCCAAATCAGCGCTAGTTTTTTAAAGGAAAATCAACGTTTTCATCCTAAAAACTTTTTAAAAACGAAATGAAACGTAAATTTCCATATAAAGAGCTTTACTTGCCCGAAATTAGACTAATCCTCAAACAGTTCAAACCAGTTTTTCTCGACACTGAGACAGTTTTCTGAATTAGTTCAAATATCGTTTGAATCACAACTGAAAGTGCTATGATATGATATATCACTCGAACAATTCCGATAATTGATTGTGCTATCTGATTTTGCGTGAAATACAGAAAAAAAAAACGAAGAAGAATATATGCTCAAACATACTCGAAAACAAAATTCCAACCCATTCTAAAGGGTCGGAACAATTCCATATACAATTTCAAGGAATAGGGAAAACTGCAATATAGCTGCCATATCAACAAATTGCGTTATCTTAAGGCAAAAGGCATCTAAATCCTCTAATCCCTAAACATATTTCTCCGATAAAAAAATATCTTTCAGCTGTGTTCAACGTAATTTCTGTTCTTAGTAAAAGCCTAACTCATTGAACTAAACTTTTATTAATAGCTCCAACCAGATAAATTAGGAAAACAAAAAATTCAAAAGTTTTTGAGTTTTTTCATATTTTAAATGAAACGTTGTTTTTGTTTCAAAAGTAAAGAAAATAATTACTTTTGACGTTTTGGCGATCGAAATAAAAGCTATCAACGAAAATGTTTTTTGTTTCAAATAAAGATAGTTTCCTTTTGAGCTCAAATTCAAAAAAAAATTTAAGGCCAGTTTTTTATTTGGAGCTAATTTAAGTGCAATTTCATTTTAGTTCTGTAGCTTTGAAACTTGCTAGTTTAATTTGCCAATGTTTTGGAGTATATTATGCTAGCTTTGTAAAATTTGGACTACATTATGCAAGCTTATCAAAAATTACCTATATGTGACGAAACACACCGAGCAGAAAATGTTTTCAAATTGAAATCTGGCAAGCTAATTGATCGTAACTATTCTCCATTTGACACAAACTTAAAACTTTTTTATACTGGTTTTTGGCGGACAAAAAAAATTTGCATTAAAATTTTGTAAAACTATCATTTTTTTGTGCCAATACTATTTGAGACCCTTGCACGTCAGTTGAAATGTGTGAATGTGTGGTGTTTTTTCTCCCATACTGCGCTATAAGTATGTCGGCTTAATAAAAAATTAGGCTGGTTTGCCTACCACTTTAGATTGTAAATATTTAAACGCAGGCTATTTTTGTGACCCAAATCTTTAATACCTCCTACCTCCATGAAGTTAAAAGAATAGTTTCTAAACAAGTGCATACTTGTGACAAAAATTGAGCCTTTTAAAAAAATTCTTCAATTATTTTTAAATTTTGTGTTCAATTCGTGCTGCATCTTTCTTAAACTGATCATAGGCCTGGGCGTAAATTATTATATATTTTTTGAACTGTAAATCATCCTCACAGTGATTTTCTGCAATTTTTGATGGATCAAAACTCTCGGAAATTTCGAATGTAGTTCTCGAAAAATGTAGCTTTTGTTGAATCTTTCTATTTATTTTGGCAATCGTTTCAAATTTTCATTTTTGATTTATTTCTTCAATCGATAAAAAAAGCTATTTTTTTATCAGATCAAATTGCTCTTCTTCCTCAAATTATTTAAGCTCGAGGATATAAAAGTAAGAGGGATACTAAGAAAAGTAGTTGCCATGTGAACAAAAATAAACTTTTGCATTATTTAATTTGTCTGGTTCGTTTTTTGAAAACAAAGTTAAAAAACTTTCAATAGATTTGCAGCAACTTTTAACATGAAAATTAGCGTGGTTCAATGCACTTAAAAGACAGGGCTGATCGTTTGTTGAAATTTTCGAGAACAAATAGCAAGGGAGTAAACTAGCAACTTATTACTATACTAATGGACAATACATGAAGCAAATCTGGGTCGCCAAATTGAACTTTTTGCGGCCAGAAATCCATACTCCTGAGGGTGCTTGAGTCTCGCCAAATTGCAACATGGGTCGCGCTAAGACGCAACATTGCTAAAAATGGGTCTTGAAAAATCGAAAAAAGGGTTGCACAAAGTCGCAACTTGGGCCGCGCAAACTCAACGTGAGTATGAGCGTATTGATCAAGTTTGGGTGATATAAGCATTATTGGTTAATTTTAATAAAACTAACGAAATAATAAAAGTGTCTAAGACCTACATCAGTATCCTGTCCTAAACACAAAATTATCGTAGCTAGAAAACAGACGGCTTCCAGATGAATTCAAACCAAAGTTAAATTCCATCTTTTCGTGAAAAATGTATCAGTAGAAGCGCTACAGTAGGTGCGCTAAGTACGAGTACGACCTTTTTGCCAATTAATCTAATTTTTTTGCGAAGTCATGTTTTCACTTCAATCCTATTCACATTTATCATAGGGTCTGTTCTCCTCCTAGACAAAAAAAATCTAAATTTAAATCAATTATTTCTATTAAAAAATTTGACTTAACAAATTCTGAGAGAAGTTTTGACGAACTTTTTTTAAGTCGACCAAATTGGTTTTCCGAGCTCTTCTAAAGCACTAAAAAAGACGCTGTTGTGGCACAATTTTCTGCGCCGCCGGCAATTTTTTGAAAAAATAAGTGAAAAAAAAGCCGTTTTTGGGTACTTTTTGAAAAAGTTTGACAAAAAATTGCCCCTGATTTACTTGCTGAACTTTATAACCATTGTTCATTTGTTTTTTAAGACACCATTTTGTACAAAAACGACGCACTCAGAAACCATGAAAGCGCAGAGAATGCCAGTCAATAAAGAAAATTTTTGCATATTACTTTCAAAATTTTAAAAAATCAGGCGAAAAAGACAAAAAAAATGAAGAAAAAACAATTGTAGCTTTGATCATGAATCAAGATA